GTGACAGTGAGGCTTGAATAAAATACTGTTAAGACCACGCTGTAGCCTGAGAACCACTCAGTAAATACTAATTTACCTTCTTTCCTAGTCACTACCCTCCTTCCCTCTCCATCTGTGTAATTAACTTGGGTATGGAGCAGGTGGGAACCAATAGGTTAGATATCCATTTAAGGGTATGGAATGTGGGTAAAAAATTCTGTGGCATGTACTTTAAAGTATATATTGCTTTTCACCCATGACTCTGATTTTGTGACAAATATTGGATACCAAGGTCTCACCAAAAGCTACTTTGGGGCACTGTGAAGAATATTTTCTTAACTAGCTGGATATGTGACCTAAATTTAGGTTTCTTCTTTATCTCCTTGGGCAATTCAGGCTTTTGCCTTGAAGAACCTAATTGTCAAAGATTTAGGTGCACTTTGCTGTCAGCCCTTGATGGCTGTGGGGTGGTATGTCCTCAGCATGGCAGCTTTGTCTGGTAAAGGGGCCCTCTGACCTTGATCTTCCATGTGATCACACACAGTGAGATCTCATTAAAAATATCTTGAGCATAGAAAAACGAAACCTGTTGCCACTGAGTCCATTCTGTGTTACAGAGCAGAACCGCACTCTGTAGGATTTTCAATGGTGTTAATCTTACAGAAGTAGATGACCGGGACTTTCTTCCATAGCACCACTGGGTGTATTCGAACTGCCAGCCTTTCAGTTAGTAGCCAAGTGCAAATCGTTTGTACCACCTAGGGACCTCCATCTTGAGCATACGCCCCAGTATATTTATTTATAAATCATACATCATTACCGCTGTCACTAACCAGTTTATTAAGGTATAATATATACCTAACACTGGCTTCCAACTTAGTAGTGCTGAATGTAGACCATGTTGTCAATAGTTCAATAATCCCTAATTTTTCTTGCTAACTTTTTGTCAGGTCTCATTAGTATATTATTGTTTTTACCTTGTGAACAAGGCTGATGAAGACCTTGTATAGGAAGAGGAGAAGTGCCAGCAGTGCCACTTCCTTTGCATTTACCAGTCCTTGCACTTATTTGTATATATCTTTAATCTATGGTTTATTTGCAGGAATATATTTAAGCACTTGATCCTTTATTGGGGAAGCCTTCTTTAGTAACAGGGAATCTCTGGGTGGTGCAAGTGGTTGAGTGCTCGGCTGCTAACTGAAAGTTTAATGGTTTGAACCCACTCAGAGGTGCCTCAGAAGAAAGTCCTGGCAGTCTGCTTCCAAAAGGTCACAACCATTGAAAACCCTATAGAGTGCAGTTCTACTCTGCAACACATGGGGTCGCTATGAGTCAGAATTGACGCGATGGCAACTGGCTTTTGGTTTGTTTAGTAACAGTGCGATAATATAATTGGTAAGCCCAGTTAACCAAAGCCACATGCAGTATGTCACGGAATGCTGAAGGAGAGAAAGCGAGGACACCACTGTCCCTTCTGCACTGTAGAACTGCTTCGCTTCCCTCAGGGGACTTGTATACCAAGGAGGCAAGAGAAGTGGCCCATCTCACATGCCACCTGAGGCAGGACACCAACAATCTGTATATTAGAGAGGAGGGATAAAGTTTAAGTTCTTATTTTTTTGGATTAAAACAACGCTAGACATCCTAATATTTTCTTCTGGCTCCAAAGTGAACATCTTGGCACCTTCCTTTTCCATTTCTGCCCTAGCAGCTCGTGTGGCAGGAAGTAACACAGAACGAGAGGGGCCGTGGTAAGTTCAAGTGTCCACACTCCACTCATGGTGGCTATGCTATGGGAACAGATGGGTCCCAGGGTGGCCTGAGATTCTGATTTTTCCAGAGAAGCAAAAAAGTCTAGATTTTTATTTAAAATCTTCCAGTTAAAACAAAAAAATTTTTTCTTTTTTTTTTTTTTTAAATAGGGCTGCACAAGCCAAGCAAAGCACAAACAAAACTCATAACCTCTGCTCTTAGGGCTCTTCCCAGTGCGACTACTTTATTCATCTCTGTATTCCCAGCACTAGTGAAGTACCTGCAAATAATAGGTGCACAATAAATCTGAGCCCTGGTGGCACAATGGTTAAGTACTCGGCTGCGAACCAAAAGGTTTACCAGTGGCTCTGTGGGAGAAAAGACCTGGTGATCTGCTCCTGTAAAGATTACAGCCTGGGAAACCCTATGGGGCAGTTCTCCTCTGTCATATAGGGTTGCTATGAGTTGGAATCGACACGATGGCACACAACAAAAACAATAAATATGAGCGACTGAATGATGGCATGCCCTTGGGGTGTGTGGTGGCCAGAATAACGGCTCCCCAAAATGTTCACATCTAAAAATGTCCCTAGAACCTATGAATATGTTACTTTACCTGGCAAAGGGGATTTTGCAGATGTGAGTAAATTAAGGATTTGGGGATGGGGAGATTATCCTGTATTACCAAGGTGGGACCTTGCCGACCTTTTGGATGGCAACCTAACTCTTAACCACTGCCACCAGGGCTCCAGTGTAATCACAGGGGCCCTTATAAGAAGGGGACAGGAGGGTCAGAGTCCAAGAAGGAGATGTGACTGTGGAGTCAAGAGTGATGCGATTGCTGGCTGGGGGCCACAAGCCAAGAAATGCAGGTAGACTCTAGAAGCTGGAAGAGGCAAGGAAATAGATTCTGCCTAGAGCCTCCGATGCCACACCTTGATTTTAATCCTGTGAAACCCATCTTGGATATGTCAGCTCTAGAACTAAGATACAAAGTTTGTGTCATTTTTAGCTACTAAGTTTGTGGTAATTTTTACAGCAGCAATAAGAAACTAATACAGGGAGCTTATACACCAGTTGCCATCAAGTTGAGTCCTACTCATGGCGACCCCATGTGTGTCAGAGTACAACTGTGCTCCATAGGGGTTTCATTGGCTGAATTTTGGAAGTAGATCATCAGACCTTTCTTCCAAGGGTGCCTCTGGGTGGACTCAAACCTCCAAGCTTTTGGTTAGCAGCTGGGCATGTTAACAGTTTACACTACCTGGAGACTCCCTAGGGAGCTTATGACCTAGTAAAAGAGATATTCAACAAAAAACAACCCATTGTTGTTGAGTTGGTGCTGACTCATGGCAACCTCACGTGTTACTGAGTAGAAATGTGACCTAGAATTTTCAAGGCTGTAATCTTTACAGAAGCAGATTGTCAGGCCTTTCTTCTATGGTACTGCTGGGTGGGTTCAAACCGCTAACCTTTAGGTTAGTAGTTGAGAGCAAATAGTTTTCATCACCCGAGAACCTAAAAGAGATGATACAAGGGCCCATATAACTGACCAAAACCAAACCAAACCCACTGCCGTTGAGTCGGTTCTGACTCTTAGCGACCCTACAAGATTTCCAAGGCTGTAAATCTTTACGGAAGCAGACTGCCACATCTTTCTCCCTCAGAGTGGCTAGTGGGTTTGAACCACCGACCTTATGGTTAGCAGCTGAGCGCTTTAACCAGTGTGCCACCAGGGCTGTTTATATAACTGACAAAGACATAAAATAATGAATGCTATCAGAGAGGAATAAGGTTCTGGGAAAGCTTGAAACTTCAGACTAGGAGCTATAGGGAAGGTTCTGTGCTTGTGGGGAGTGAGACTGGTTCCAGCGCCAACTCCAACCGCTGTGGTGGGTCCCTGGAAAGCTCCCAGACTAGCAGGGGAGCAAAGGTGGCAACGCATGAATGCCACACATGGGGCATGTGGGCACAAAGGAGGGAGTTGTCAGCTCATCCAGGGCAGCCCGGACCAGGACTGCCTTGCTGCACACTTCCATATGGTGCTACTCGCATCAGAGTCTACAGGAGTAGCTCCCCCGGAGGTGTGCCGTGAACCACCATATGCAGTGGTCCTGGGGATTGCCCATTAAGAGGAGGTAAGGGTAGGGCAAGTTCTGGTTTTCTCTTTGTCACCTGAGGTCCTAGCAAAGAGCATTTGGTATGGAGGCCAATGCTGTGGAATGAATGAAAAATGAGAGCCTGGCGGGTCATGCTTTGCAGCAACATAGAGTCCAGTGACTGAATTGCTCTGGCTGTACCTGGAAACCCGAGATTTGCATCCTCACAGTGACCTGGGTCTATTCCTCCTGTCCACACTGCCCCCATCCCGCAGCCGCTACTGCACAGCAAAAATTTAGTGTCAACAACACATTTAGTAGAGGGATGCAGCGCCAGAGCATTCCCCCTTGATCCTGCCCACTGAAGTCCTGGTCAACTGCCTGCCCTGCAGCCGTGGAGCAAATATCTCTTCGCCCACTGATCTTCTGCCCCAACTTGAAACATTAGTACCCAAGTTTTGTGGCTGAGACTTTTAGAACTTACTCTGCTGGGGTTTGCTCTCAATGAATAAAGGAGGTTGGACCTCTTAGGGTATGTTAGATATATTTGTCTGAAGGTATTTCTTACTTGTATGCTTCTTTCTCAGAGCGCTCTGGATAAAGTTAGTTATCTCTTGAATAAATATTCAACATCCGTTTGATCAAGCATACAGTGTGGACACCATACCAAAGCAATATATAGATTCTTAAGAACAGATTTGTGGGGCAAAGTGTGGCTTTACTTTCCAAGAGGCTTATCTCAAATGGTACAGCATGAGCAAGAGCTGTTTTATAATGTTGGACCTTCTCTAAGGACTTTATTTTAGGACCATGTATAATGAAAATAGTTTAGCAGAGAAGTTTTGCTTCTATTTTTTATTTCAATTTTGTACATTCTAAGCTTCTACATTTATTATATGTCAACCCATATGGAAGAAGGACAGCACATAAAAAGGTACCATATAAAATTACCAAAAATATTACATTATCAAAAGGTAATTCTAATTTATAGTGAAAGCAAAGATTTCCAATATCTTATTTTGAAACACTTTCCTAATTAGTGTTCATTCTACTCTTGTTTTGCCTTGCACAGCCACCAGTCTGATCTTTCTAAACACAGAACTGATGTACCTCTCCCAGCTGAAAACCATTTAATGCTTCCAAGCTGTCTGCAAAATAAGGTTCTTTAATATGGTTTATAAGGAGTCCCTGGGTGGCACAAATGGTTCAGAGCTAGACTACGAGCCGAAAGGTTGGTGGTTGGAACCCACCCAGAGTCCCCTCGGAAGAAAGGCCTGGCAATCTGCTTCTGAAAGGTCACACCCTTGAAAACTCTATGGAGCGATTCTGCTCTGCACACGTGAGGTCACCATAAGTTGGAATCGACTTGACGGCAACTAATAACAGCAATATGGTTTATAAGCCCTCCCCCACACTCAGTGCGGTTTCTGCCCATTCTGGGAATTTGGTTGATCAGTCAGTTATTTGCTCCCCAGACACTCATTTCTTGTCATATATATACCTACCAAACAAGCTTCTCCCATCTCAGTGAAAGGCACTCCCCCTTTCTCCCTTTTCCTCTCCCTTTCCTTCTCTCTCCCTATCTGTCTGTCTCCCTCCCAGGAACCACTGCCTTGCTTTCACTATAAATTACCCAAACCAAGAACCAAACCTATTGCCTTTGAGTAAATTCTGACTCGTAGCAATCCTATAGATCAGAAACCTGTTCTTCCACCTCATCTTGGGAAACATTTCCTGATATCCTCAGGCAGTCTGAATGCTTCTGTTCTGATCTAAGTTCCTCAAATCAGAACACTTTTATCTATAAAATAAGCAACTGTAGTTGCTTGATTAACAGTCTATATTGTTCACCATCGAATCCCCAGTGCCAAGCAAAATGCTTGTTATATTTGTGGACAGAATACATGCAGATAGGATGGAACACCTAAATGTGCTGGGAGAGACACATAGTTAGATGGTTCCCTCCCTCAAACCCAGCTGGGCCCCAAACAAGCTTGCATTGTTTCAGCTTTCTGATATCACTTTGGTGCACTCTTTTTTCCAAGCGGCATTCTCCTCTGATAGACAGCAAGCCCCTTTGTCTTATTAATTCTGTACCTTCAGCTCCTGAGACCACCTCACACATAGTAGGTGTTCAATAAATAGTCAACCAGACAAAAGACAAAAGAAAAATCAAAAACAAGCAAACAAAACTAGAAAGATGCAATTTGGAAGAAGGAACGGGAACCAATTCTAAGGCGGATATAATGAATAAAATGATCACCCTGTGGGAGAATTGTAGGGCCTTGGGTGGAGTGAGCAGTTAGTGACTGGCTACTAATGCAAGATTGGCAGTTTGAACCCACCAACTGGTGCCAAAGAAGAAAGGCCTGGCAAACTGCTTCTGTAAAGATTACAGCCAGGAAAACCCTATGGAGCAGTTTTACTCTGTAACACATGGGGGTACTAGGAATCAAAATTGACTCAATAGCAAGGGATTTGTGCTTTTTTTTTTTTTTTTGTGGGGGGAGGGGAGAATTGCAGAGAAATATAAATGCTTACTTTTCCTTGAAAAGTATTTTTACCCACTTTACTATCAAACTCTGGCTTCCATTCAGTCATTTTGCCTTTTATTTAAGCACACAAAACCAGGAAGTCATCTCTGTTCTTTGTTCAAGTGGATTTGCTACACTCATATAATACTGAAATCACACCTTTTCCTTCACTGGAGGTAATTTCACTTGTGTTTCTATTTGCTCTTTGTTGTTATTTTGAGGCATTTATTAGGGGCCACAAAAGTTGGGGTCATTTTGAAGGTATGTGAGAACATGTACTGGCTTTCGACTGTCAAACCAGAAGTTTTAAACCTGCTTCCTTGTTTTTCTCCTGGGGCAGTGGAAATTTCTGGCCACCAGCTGGGACTGGAACTGATTTAGTGCCAGAGAGGTGAAACGTGGGAAAGTATAGGGATATTGTTTATTAATGTTACTTAGTCACTCTCAGCAGTAGATTTCATGATTTAGAAAACATTTCCTGGTTTTGAAAACTTAACAATACAGCCCCCTGTGTCTGTCAAAAATTGGGGTGGGGGGATTCAGTAATGCGAAGACCAGGAGGATAAATTCAGATGACTAGTGGATTTGTAATTGCTTCTTTCAGCTTTAATGACGTTAGGTCTACATTCTAGTCTTCATCAGTTTAATTATTAATGGCTGTTTTTAACTGGAGAAAAGGGTGCCTATGCATATCCGAGGGAGTCCATAGCTATCATATTCCTCTCTGTATCAAATTCATATGGTAATCAGATTCACTGGATTGGTTGTTGGGAAAGCTTGGATTTTGTCTTAGCTCTGTTTCTAACTAACTTTTGAGTTTAGACAAGTCCCTAAATTTCTCTAGGCCTGAATTTACTCCACTATAAAATGTGGGGTCTGCTAGCTCACTTCAGTTTGGTTCAATAAGTGCTTGCTTGCTACCTACCTATGTGAGGCTGGAGTCCCCGGAGAGAGAGCTTGAGGCAGGGATTCTTGGGTAAGTGAATGGTTGATTGAGTATTCCTAGTAGAGAACTGAAAGGAAGTGAGGGAGGCAAGATAAGGTACGGGAAGAAGCCAAGCAAAGATGTGGTTTTCGCTAATCTAATCTCGGTCTGATCCCAGAGGGTGCTCTGGAGTGTTAATGGCATCACAGAATTGTGAGTTTGCTATGCATCTCTTTCAGTCAGTCACTGGCTGAGGGTTGCTCTCCAGGAGTACAGAGTATAACTTCACAGAAATGTCTGGATAAGGCAACTTAGCAGCTGGAAGATGGGTGCAACAGCTTATTAAAGGGGATCTAAATGGGGCACCAACTGAATTTATTGTAACACTTCTGTGTCAGGCACTGTGCTAGGTACTGAAGAAACAAAAATAAAAAAAGCATGGTCCCTGATCTTAGGAAATTCATGGAATAGTGCCGAAGATAGATGCATAAGCAAGTAGTTTCAACACAACATGGTAAGTGCTAGGAGAAAGGAATACACCGAATGTTGTAGGAACAAAGAAGAGAGGCAGACATTACCTGCTGAGGTCCCCGGGGAAACAGCCTTTCAATGGCAATTAACATGCAAGAGCTTTATTAAGGAATGCTCTTGTGATCAACATCTGGGGGAGGGAAAGGAAGGGAGGGGAAGGGAAGGGCCTGGAAGGAAAGGGTGGGTTTGGGCAGAGAGAGAGAGAGACAGACAGAGAGAGAGAGAGAAAGAGAGAGAGAGATACAAGTTAAGCTTCAGTGTAGTCTCAATTAAAGTCTCTGCCGAACTAGTGGGGAGTTCCGGGCTTTCTGCCAGTAGCATTCACAGCAGCCAGGGATAAAAGGTCCTTCATTCCTAAATGGGGATCAGAGGGTGCATCAGAGAGTTTACCACAGTGCACCCCTTGTGTCTCTTAGATCTATTTCTTCATGCAAATTCTGGGAGCAGCTCCTTTAGGAAACCTGAAGTGGAAGGGGGATCTTTCTTCCTGGGGAAACTTAGAAGGTTAGTAGGCTGAACTACAGTCCTCACCACTGAGGCAAGTCTTGAGGCCACAAATGATGCTCTTCATTTCCTTCCTTATTTGTTTTAGAGCCCTTTACCTCAGGTGGAAGGAGCCCTGGTGGCACAATGTTTAAGTGCTCAGCTGCTAACCAAAAGGTGAGCACCAGAAGCTACCAGCCACTCCATGGGAGAAAAGACCTAGCAATATGCCCCCATAAAGATATACAGCCTAGGAAACCCTGTGGGGCAGTTCTACTTTGTCCTATAGGGTCGCTATGAATGAGAATCGATTCGATGGCATGTAACAGCAACAACCCTCAAATGGATCTGTGCTAGTCTCAGTGATCGTGTGACTCAGCTCTTCATTCCTGATGGGTCTGAGCCCTTGTCAACGTGTTCTTCTTAGACCAGGCCAGGGTGACAGCACTTATTTATTTACTGCCAAAATTGGGTAAGGAAGTATAAAGAGGTGTCCAAGGGGATCACCTGGGTGCCCAACATATTCCTCTATATCCCCATTTTGTAACAGTACTCCTCCCTCATGATCCAGAGTCAATATCCTGCCAAATTAGGGGTGATTGATGTTGCCTGCTCGTCCTTTGATAGAAGGAGACCAAAATGTCCAGGTAACAGCTATAGCTTATTGTATGAAGGGAATCTTGCTGTGTCCTCTGGTGGACACATTTCCCTTTTGGAAATCAGGAACTTTGAAACCATAGCCCGGACATATGGGACAGGAGCACAATTTCCTCAAGTGAGTCACTGAGTGTGAGGCCACTCCTGCTGTACCTCTTGGTTCTCAGACCCATGTATTATACCTCTTGGGGACACAGCACCATACAAGATCTTTGATTTAAAGTGTGTATTATATCATGGAGGATAGTAATACTTCTGAGCTGATCCTTCAACTATACCTTCATCAGACCATTCCAACACTGCCAGGCCTGCAGCTTCTGGGTGGTGTATTATGTGATAGGACCACTAGATGCCATGGTCACAGGCCCATTCCCACACTTCCTTTAAAGTGGGAGAAAAGTGGATGATGTTATTTGGGATTCCATGTTGATGGATCAAACACTCCATGAGCCCTCAGATAGTGGTGCTAACTGGGGCTCTGCAGGCAGGAAAGGCAAACATAAACCTAGAATAAGTGTTTATTCCTGTCAAAGTGAGTAAGTGGCCATTCCAAGGAGGAAGGGTTTCATTGAAGTCAACTTGCCACCAAGTGGCCAGTTGGTCTCCTCAAGGGATGGTGACATATTGAGGACTCAGTATTGGTCTCTGTTGGAGGCTTGTTGGACATTCAGCAGCAGCAGTAGCTAGGAAAGCATTGGTAAGAGGGGGGCCTATTCTATTGTGTGTATGATACTCCATCCCTGCCACCATGGCTACTTCATTCATGCACCCATTGTACCAAAAAATGGGGTGGCAGATGACAGAAGCTGGCAGATGTCAACTGGACAAATCATGTTGTCTGCCTGGTTGTTTAGTGTCTATTCTGTGGTGGATGTTTCTCATGGGCATTAACATGCAATATGAAGATCCTCACACTTTTATGCCGACTCTCATACATCTGTCCAAGACCTCCTTGTCCTGAATCTTCCAATCTTTCTCATTCTAGACCCCTGACCATCTGGCCAGCCTATTTACAACTACCTATGAGTCTTCATGTATTCCAGTTCAGGCCACTAATTTTTCCATATACTGTGTATGATCAGTTGCACCCCCCAAAGTTCTATCCATTTGGAGGGTTTTCCTCACTGTTGTTTTTCATGCCTACTCTGAGTGGGGCTGTAGTGCAGCTGGAGTCAATTTTCAGCATGTATCCAGATGATGAAGCGGACTGAGCTATGAAACAAGCTCAGGTATTTTGATCCTACATCATCAGCTGGTCATAAGGGATTCCCCATACAGCCATAGATGTGAGCTTAGGGAGAGGTGCTGGTGCAAGAATGGTAGATGGCATGGAGGTCTGGTCTGCCCTCTTATGTAATTTGCTTGTGCTTTCTAGTCCTATTCATGCTCAATCCCTGATATAGCACTTCATCCCTTGAATCTCTTCTTCTATCATCGTCATGGCAAATCTGTCATGTCTGCCTCCCTTAGGGTGGGTGATTGGATTTTCCATGCTTCTAGGACCTACTTTTCAGTAGTAAGTTCACACTGTTTCTGGGAGTCCTTGCCCGAGTGTTATATCCCATATCCCAAGAGTGTACCCAAATATATAAACTCTCCCTTATCCAACATTATGTTCCTACTCCCTTGATCATGTACCCTCAGTCCTCTGTGTATTCTCCCAGCTTCTGGCAGCACATCTGGCTATGTCCTGAGCTCCTTTGGGGTCTAATCCCTCTCCTCCCGTATCAGACCCAACATGTCTCCACACAGGTTATGTTGTGATTTAACCCTTGCTTTTGATCTAGTGGCCAGGAGGAAAGATGGGGCCCTATTGTCAGTGAGGGGAGTATATGTTGTCTTGTGGGGAGAGGGCTCTGCATCATCTTTAAGCAAGGGAGAATGCTAGTCTTGGTCGAGGAATGGACCATTTCTGCAGTCTCAAAGGTTTCAGAGAGATCTAGGGATTCAAGTATTTGAATGCATCAACCAGGTGTCTCTATTCCATATGTCAGGGTCCCATTATTTCCCAGCAGGGCCTTGGCCCTGTCACAGCTGACCTGTCTTGGTTGAGACTTTAACTTTCTTTGGAGCTCTACTACTCTGACAATTATAATAATCTAGGCCTGTGTCTCAGTATCCTCTGCCCTCCTGCTATAGGGGATGAGAACCAAGGAGGCCTCTGGATTTCACATCTAGTTTATAATTGTCAATTACTCTCCCTTAGCTTTTTCCAAAGCTTTATTCAAACTTAGCAACAGATACCTATTTCCATTTCTTTATAGTTACTATTTTCTCCATATTTTTCATAGCCAATATTTCATAACCAGATAATGTGTTCCTTTCCACTGTTATACCATACTGGCTCACCACCTATGAAGAGTTGACAAATGAACTTCCTCCTTGTGCCGGGGGCTCTCTGAGGTTCACCCACCACCAGTGATAGGTGCCTAATTGCCATTTGGATAGTGGGTGATCCAGCTCCAAAAATCTCATTCCAGGATCTGCGTTGTCAGATCACCTTCAGTACCAGTTGTCACAAGTTGGGTTCCTTGGGAAGCAGAATCTGAGATGGAACTTAGCATGCAGAAGGTTTCGTAGAGAGTAATCTTGGGATCAAACCCTGTGGAAGAGAAGGAAGCAATATTGGGTAGGTATAGAAGTCAAGTTGCAATTCAGTCTCAGTGGAAGTCTCAGCTGACCCTCTTGGCAGTTCTGAAGATGGGATGACACTTCAGAGCTATCCTGAGTTGCCTCAAGAATGAGCTGAGCCTTTATATCTCCATGGCAACCCCAAGAGGGTAGTGTAGCCTTGGGTATGACAACTGTCTTTAGCAGGGGTCAGTCCTTAAAGGGGGATGATGGTATAAAGTGATTTAGTCATTGTGTAATAAATGTGCTAACTTATACTTCTTTTTTATTTTTCCTTAGCATCTTTTTATGGTGAAAGCTACGTGGAGTTCAACATCATAGAAGTTTCCTCTGAATTGTCTCTTCAATTAAAATTTCAAACCAGTAAACCACAGGGGTTACTTTTTCTCGCAGCTGGGAAAAATGACTACTGTATAATAGAACTCCTATCAGGAAACTTGCAGGTATAATTTTTAAAACTCTTAAAAAATATATAGGCATTCAGTTACTGGAGAGGAGAGTTACAGAGAAAGACAACAAAATAGCTATAAATTTTAATTAACTGCTATTCCACTAGAATAAAATGGTGTACTATTTTTAAAGGCTGAAATCTTTTCCAGTTTTACCAGCATGTCTTAAATTTCTGACCCTAAAACTTTCTAAAGGAGTCCTTGGGTGGTACAGATGGTTAACATGCTAAGCTGCTAACCCAAAGGTTGGAGGTTCAAGTCCACCCAGAGGAGTCTTAGAGGAAAGGCCTGGTGATCTACTTCTGAAAAATCAGCCATTAAAAACCATATGGAGCACGATTCTACTCTGACACATATGGGGTTGCCATGACTTAGATTTGACTCCACGGTAAATGGTTTTAAAACTTTCTAACCTCAATATATAGCTTATAAATGTGGGCAGAGTTTTCATGTCTAAATTTCTCTCTTGTTTTGTGAAGGGTCCCATTTTCTCAATAAAACACTGTGAGCGGAGAAATGAGACTAAATTGACTAATTATGATTTATTTTCTTTCAGGTGAGAGTAAATTTTGGTGCAGGTGAACAAGTGCTTCTTTTTGAGCAAAGACTTCGTATGAATGACTTGACTTGGCATTCAGTGGAATTGTACTATGTTAAGGATAAGATCTCTCTGATTATTGACAAACATTATGAGACAGCTGGCCTAACAGCTATTGGGGCGCACAATTTGAACTTTCAACATGGAATCTATGTAGGAGGCCTTGGTGGACTCGATGTCCCTTACCTAGATGGAAAGCCCCTCAATTTCCGAGGATGTATGGAGGATGTGGTATTTAACCAAAGGGAGATCCTTATATCCCTGAGATCGTACCCTGGTTTCAAGAAGGTTTATGAGGTATCACTAGGATGCAGTGATGAATTTTTTGCTGGACAAGATGAAGCCATCAATTTCTTTAGCTCCAGATCCTATGTCACCTTCCCAGAATGGAGGATACATAGAAAAGGGCTGCTGGAATTTGCTTTGCAGACTGGATCTCGACAAGCCTTGCTTTTATTTCAGTCTGGAAGAGAAGGAGATTTTGTTGCTTTGGAAATAGATGAAGGCCTATTGAAGGCTCATGTAGGAAGGAGTAAAAGTAAAACTCAACTTTCTTGTTTTAGCTTAGTTAGTGACAATAAGTGGCACGTTATTCAACTCAAACTCACTGAAAGGCATCTGAACTTGATGGTAGATGAAGAAGGGGTAAGGACGTTGCTGCCTTTGCAAAACAAGCCATTTGTGTCTGAAGGCCCCCTCTTTGTGGGAGGTCTTGATAACCATGTGTGGGAAGAAGTAAAGAAGTTAGAACTTCCCTCTGTGCCAAGGAAATCTGCTCAAGGAATCTCTTTCAAAGGGTGCCTAAGAGGTTTAGAAGCCAACTCAGAAAAGAGAGCATTAAGGGATGCCCTCATTTCCAAAGATATTTCAGTTGGGTGCAAAACTAGGAGTACTGATAACACAAATCCTCCCATAACAACGTTGGAAAACCTGCTTCAGTCGGAAGTTACTACTGCCATCCCTGAGGCCACCGAGCCTTTTCTTCAAGAAGAGAGTAGCTATTTCTTAGTTTTAAATGACTTGGAGGTCCAAGAAGGTGGACATGCCTTATTGGAACAAAGGCATATGAAAGTGAACATGGAATTTAAGGATTTGGGTGTCCATCATTCTCAAATACTATTTAAAATAAAGGAAATGCCTATTCATGGGTTCCTTCGATTAGATGTTTCACCTGAGCAAGAAATGGACAAGGCTTTTACTCTGTTAGATTTGTGGCAAGGAAAAGTTTGGTACGTCCATGATGGTTCAGAAGAACCTAGGGATTTTTTCACATTTTTGGTCTCTTTCAACAGCAGTAAGGAAATGCCATTATATCTGCCAGGACATGTTCCACACGTGTTTAACATTATTGTCATTCCAGTAAATGATCCCCCGCACCTTAAACTCCCTGAAGGCAACTTGCTTCTCCTGCTTGAGAACTCTAAGAAACGATTGACCCCTAATCTAATACACGTGTCAGACCCTGACACACATTCTCTGGGTATTAGTTTTTCAGCTCTTGGTAACTTCAATTCAGATGCTGGGTTTTTAGAAAATGTCATTGATCCTGGGAGAGCCATTAATAGTTTTACATATGGGGAGTTAAGAAATGGCAACATTTTCTATGTGCACAGGGGTCATCGGAACTCCCGGATTGTTCTGAGAGCAAGTGATGGAGAGCTAGTTAGCAATACAGTGGTGCTACGGGTCATGGCTGTTCCTTGGGACTTTGAAGTGGCCAACAGAACTGGTGTGGTTGTACAACAAGGTAGCATGGTTCTGATTACACAGAGTAACTTGTCAGTGGAGGTTAATGGTAAATGGCAGGAGATGGAGACCCGCTATGATATCACTCATCCACCTCTGTTTGGTCAGATTCAGCGGTGGCAGTCTAGTGGTGAGTGGAAGCAAGTTAGCAGCTTTTCCCAGAGTTCCATTGATCGGGGTCGGATCAGATACTGTAGTACATTCAAAGAGTTGCAGAGAGAAAATGTTACTGATCACTTTAAATTTAAAGTCAGCATAGAAGGAAAAACCAGTGAAGAGCTGACATTTCCTGTTACTGTACAATGGCTGAAGTTTACACTTCTGAACAATGTTCCTCTCAAGATCAGTAAAATAAGCAAGCAAGTATTGAATTCTGATCAGTTGCAGGCTGTGACAGAGGGTGTGGAAGTAGCTGAGAGTGAACTACATTTTAAGTTACTGACCCCACCTAAGAAAGGAAAATTGCTACTTGGCAATAAAGTTCTAAAAACAAACTCAATCTTCAGCCAAAAAGACGTTACAGACTCTGAGATAAGTTATGAACCACAGGAGAGGCCGGTAGCAGATGCCCAGGATACTTTTAGGTTCTTGATTGTTGCAAAACACATAGAATCCAAGGCTTATACTTTCAGAATAAACTTTAAAGCAGATAAAACACACATTATTTTAACTAACAGAGGATTATTCGTAAAAGAAGGAGAAGGGACGTTAATTACAAAATCAGAATTATTTGTTCAAACCTTGGACAATCAAATCTTCCAATATAAAATCACCAAGGGGCCTCAACATGGGAAGCTGAAGCTGATTAACATTCCTGATTCTCTGGGAAGTAATGACAATGTCACTGTGTTCACTGATGAAGACATCGTGGGTGAGAGGCTGATGTATATTCACGATGACTCTGAGACCTTGTATGATGAATTCCTTGTTGTGGCCTCCTCCCAAGGACCAGGGCGAGAGGGAGCAGTCAGGGATCTTGACACAGAGCATTTGTCTGCAGAAATCAAAGTCAACATTTCTGTTGGGTTAAAGAATGATGAGAAACCAGTGCGTGTGGTAGATAAGGTCTTTAGTGTTGTGCGGAATGGCCAGCGCTTATTGACTCTGGCAGATCTCTGCTACCATGACCCTGATTTAGATTTTGATGATGGGCAGTTGCTGTACACCCGGCGGGGCATTCCAAATGGGGATTTGGTGCGAGCCAGTGACTCCACTCAGAAACTCTATCAATTCAGTCAGGAGGACCTACGGGAGGGGCGCGTGCTCTTCAGGCATCACGGTGCAGACTCTGCCCGCTTTGTGCTGTTTGTGACAGATGGCGTCCATTACACGTCGTCCCTTCTCGAGGTCAGTGCGTCAGACCCTTACATCCGAATAGCCAACAACACTGGACTACTTGTACAGAGAGGAAAAGACAGCTGCCTCACAGGAGCTAACCTTAGTGTCACCACAAACCAAGATGTCAGAACGGACCTCGAGATCAAATTCCACATTGTGCAGCTTCCAAAGCATGGCAGAGTCCTGGTCGACAATTCTGTGTCCCCATCATTTTCCCAGCATGACTTGAAGCAAGGACGTGTGATTTATAGGCATGACGGCAGCGACAACTTTGACACGTTCAACCTGAGAGTGACAGTTAAAGATACGTATTCAGACATAGGAGTCTATGTACAAGTGTACTTGGAAAGCCACCAACATCCCACCCAACTTTTGCACAGAAGGACCCTTGTAGTGGAAGAAGGAAAACCAGTGAAATTGTGTAGAGGAAGACTTCAGGTAGGTAGTTGTCCTAAGCACCAAGCATTTTCACTCTCCCAGGACCACAGGGGCTAATTCATTTGTTTGCTTCTGAAAGCTACTTAAGTGTTGATTTGTCTCCTGATGTTAGGAATGACTGTTTTTTTCTTTTTTAAATGTAGATGCTATGGAGAAGAAAAGGTGAAAGTTTTCATGATTTTGCCATTACTAATTTTCCTACAGTTGGATATGGAATATAAGCGATTCTAAGCCTTATTTTGAAGCTACGTCCACATGTGCGCTCACACTGTGTGTGTGTTAGTGTAGCATGAACTAAGGATGTGGAAGGGAGATATACTTTATGGTAAATTAAGAGATCTTTTATTTATTATTTATGGCAACACCACCATATTTTATTCGATCTTAGTTAACATTTCAGTGTAATAAAGCAGGGTATTAAAACTTAAAGGAATTTAATAAACATAAAAAAGATTCCTAAAACAGCCATGTATACTATGACACAGTTTATTTCCATAGCTGTGAATATGGCCCTGTTTAGTTCCCTAAAATTGATGGATGCAGTTGGCATAGATAGGTGGAATGCCAGGGGTGAGACCTCACACTAGAAGCCACCTGGTATCCTGGGGCTCCTACTTGAAAACTTCCAGCATGCACAGCCCTGCTGATCAGGGTTAGGAGGGAGTGTTCTTATTAGAGAATCCTGCACAGGGTGCATAAGCTGTGATTTATGAGAATTGACCATGAATGTAGGCTATTCTGAATCTACCCTCAGGACTGCAAACAGGATTACTTGTTTGCTAAATACAGCCAATTGTATCAAGTAGTAATGAATTCAAATTGAAACAGAAATAATGAGTTTCGAATAAGGAAATATGGGACCCACTAGACTTTCTCAATTCTTTTTCAGGAGATTGTTGTTGTTAGGTGCTATCAAGTCAGTTCTCACTCATAGGGATCCCATGAACAAGAGAACAAAACACTGCTGGGTCCTACGCCATCCTCACAATTGTTGCTATGTTTGAGCCCATTGTTGCAGCCACTGTGTCACTCCGTCTCTTTGAAGGTCTTCCTCTTTTTCGCTGACCCTCTACTTCGGGAGCTTCTTGTTGTTGTTATGTGCCATCAAGTTGCTTCCGACTTATAGCTATAGCTACCCCATGTCCAACCGAATGAAACACTGCCCGGTCCTGCACCATCCTCACAGTCGTTGTTATGCTTGAGCCCATTGTTGCAGCCATGTGTCAATCCATCTCATTGAAGGTCTTCCTCTTTTTCACTGACCCTCTACTTTACCAAGCATGATGTCCATCTCCAGGGACTGGTCCCTCCTGATAACATGTCCCAAGTATATGAGAGTTTATATATAAATTTCACCACAAGGGGGCATGTGCAGTTCAGTGATTATAAACCAGTTACAATCACAGCTTTGAGATGGATTTTGCTGAATCGATAAATCAAATATGTATTGAAAATGCTGAGCTAGTTACAATGGGGGAGAAAAATAAACTTCCCTCTAAGCTTTTGTGATTTTAGTGACTCAGCTGCTGCTTCTTCCACCGCCTTTTTTCCTTCTTCCTGTTCATGGATTTCTTGCTGTTCTGAATGAGGCCTTTTAATGCTTTAGTAGCTACTCAAGCGTTGTTGACCACTGTTGTTGTTAGGTGTCAATGAGTCTGTTCCACTCATAGTGACATTATGTATAACAGAACGAAACGTTGCCTGGTGGTGGGCCTTCCTCACAATCGTTGCTATGTTTGAGCCCGTTGTTGTAGTCACTGTATCAATCCATTTCGTTGAAGGTCTTCCTCTTTTTCGCTGACCCTCTACTTCACCAAGCATGATGTCCTTCTCCAGGGATTAGTCCTGATAACAGTAATTGTTGACCATTACTTTGCTTTATGACCAGGGCTGATATTCAATATGTTGGCATGGGCACGGACCCATCATAACAGAACCTGGCTTAAACTGTGTATCAACCTTGATTGTAACTTACGCCATTTGTGGACATTAATAGAAAAGAATTTGGGTCATCAAAGGTCTTGACTCTTGCACATATTAATATGTTTTTCTTTTTGTGTCTATGTTTTGTGTACGTGAACTCAAGGCTGTGCATGAAGATAATATTCCTTCAGAGGCAGTGTTCATAGTCAGAGTTCCGCCAATGCATGGATACCTCCGAAATTCTGTACCAGAAGAAGACAGCTTGGGTGCAGATGAAAAGTCCTCTTTGAGTTTTACACAGCAAGATATTGATGATGGTAGTATACACTATGTGCAGACAGCTCCTGACCAACAGCAGGACCGTTTTTTACTGGATGTGACTAACGGTTTCCAAGCTGTGAGTGGAGTGGAAATCTTGGTAGATATCGTCCCTAAGCGAATTCCTCTGGAGGTACAGAATTTCACAGTCCAAGAAGGTGGTGCTAGAGCACTTCTGGAAGACTACTTCAAAATTACAAGCAAATATTTTGTGGGACTTGACTGTGAATTTGTTCTACTTGAACCACCAAAACATGGTTATGTTGAAAATTCTCGTTTTCCAAGAGTAAAACTAATGAAATTTACCAGGAAAGAGGTAATAACGCCCAGTTAATATATTTGGGTATGCTGGGTAAGAGGAAAAAAAATGGCTATTTATCATTTAGGCTCATGGACTCTCAAGGATGATTGATGGAACCTTAGAGGGTGTCTAGTCCAACCTCTCATCAGGTGTCTGAAGCCCTTCTACATTAACTCCATAGCGAGGTTATCCAGCCATTGCTTAGCCTTCAGTGCTGGAGAACTCAACTACTTCCTGACATGGGCCCTTCCTGTTTTAAAAAACTCCAAATGTTAGAAAATCTTTATGTTAAGCTGAAATCTGCCATTTAGAAACTTCTTCCAAGTCCTTGTTCTGGTACCCTACAGAACAAATCTGGCTTTCTTATATGAAAGCTCATTAAATATTTGAAAGAAGAAGTTATCCGAGTCCCTTGGATTTATCTTCTTTAGGTTAAGCATCTCTGGTTCCTCCAACTTTCCTCATATGCCGTGAGTTTCTAGCTCTATCACCATCCTGGCTGCCCAATTCTAGGTGAACTCTACATTGTCAGCATCCTTCTCAGAATGTAATACCCAGATATTTAACACAGGCATGCTCTAATCGTTAGTGGATTTTTTCATTCATTTATTCACTGATTGAAACAGCAGATGCTTATGAAGTTCATACTCTGTGCCACGCCCTATGCTAGACCATCAGTGGTAACATGGCCTGGTCCCTACAATCAAGGAGCTAGACATAATTGCCAATCTGGCATCCAATCAGCATGAGATAATCAAAGTCAACTGTAGGTTATTATCAGATTTCTTTGTTTTGAACTAGCGTGGTATTATTGTCAGACTTTGCTTTCTTTTCATGAATTAAACAACAATTTCCATTACTTTTTTTTTAAATATTAAAAAGTAGCTTGCAGATCCCCATCATTTCCTTTATAAGCCCCTAGGAGTACAAACTCCTCAGGTTGGAAACCATTTACAACCTACTGTCCTTCAGTCCCTGGGTGGTGCAAACAGTTTGCACTCAACTTCTAACCTAAAGGTTAGCATTCGGAACCCACCCAGTGTGCCACAGAAGAAAGTCCCGGCAATTTGCTTCTATGAAGATTATAACCAAGAAAACCCTATGGAGCAGTTCTACTCTGTAACACATGGGGTCGCCATTATTCACAGTCAACTTGAGGGCAGCGGGTTTGGTTTGGGTTTTACCATGCTTTGAGTATCTTTGTTCATGCAGGTAAGAACCCATGTGCACTGCTTCATTTTACCTCTAACAATTTCATCCCATCAACTAATTTGAATTGACATTCTAAACACTCTGTTCAAGCTAATGTGTGGGATTACCATAATAAGTAAGACATGTTCCTTGCCCTCAAGAAATGCTATGGGGGAGCAAGGCACACCAACTTTTATGTAAGATATATTCTTCTTACCTCTAATGTAGCATTTTCACAGTGGTGCCATGGAGAGTACAAAATTGGCATAGTTAATTCTACTTAAGAAGAATGGGGATGCCTTCACAGAAGGAGTAACAATTAAGCTAGATCTTGAGGAGAGAGAAAGAGCAGAGAGATAACAGAGGAGCAAACAGAGTACAGCAGTCTAAGGACACGCAACAGTATAGCCAAAGACGTGGAGGCATTGAAGTGAATGGTGGCTCAGGGAGTGGAAAATATCCAAGAGCAACACTGACAGATGGGCTGAGGTGTGGCAGAGAGTGCTTGGACTAAACTGTGGAGGGTCTTGAATTACCTGCCAAGGGGTTTAGTCCTAACCAGGTGACATTAAGAAACTATGGGGAGAAGTAGAGAATTCTGAGGTTGGAAAGGATCTTGGAAATTGGCGATTCTTTAGTGGCCCCCATGCAGGTGTCTCTTAACCGCTGCTATCCTGTCAAAGGCTGGGAAAGCCATCCAAGATAAATGACCTTTTCTTGTGTGAAATGAATTTAACACTTTTCACTTCATGTATTCTAGGTTAGGTTAGTAATCTAGGTTTGGTTAGAGACTAACTTTTGTTCTTGTCTTGACCAATTATTTACTGATTATGCTTAGTAAGCAGTGTTTATTTAATGATGGCTGGTTGAATCTGTATGTCAAGCAAGGCACATGTGTTCTCTGTGCTGTCTCTGTTATCTGGTAGCTTTGTTCTCAGAGAAGAGTCAAGGTCACCCACGTATCCTTGCTAGTTCAGGTGATGTCTTTATGCTCTCTTCCTATGTGATTCCTGAGGTCTCCAGGTTTTAAGATGTTGTTTTTCACTTAAAATGACATTAAACCCTGAAACGAGTGGCTATAATTCTAGTGCCTTGGGGGAGGACAGCCCTGACCATATTTTTCCTTCATTCACTGACCAGTTATTTACTGACTACTATTATATGTCAGGAATGCCAGTTTTAGCTACTGGGGGCAAAGCAATTGACTAAACAGGCAATAATCTCTCTCCTTTTGGAGTTTTTTTCCTGGGGGAGGGAGAAAGGAGAGAGTCAGACAATAAATAAAAATACATAAGTGAAATAAATGGCATGTTGGATGAATAATAATGCTATGGCGAGAAAGGAGGAAAGGGGACAGGAGGTGCTGCAGCCTCTAGTGGGGTGTGTGTGTGTGTTTATGTTTATGTGTGTGTGTGTTCGATTTGAAATATGGCGGTCAGGGAAGGCCCAATTGAGAAGGCAGCATGTGAGCAGACACCTGAAGGAGGTGATTGATGGAGGTGCTAAGTGGATATGGGGCAAGAGCCTTCAGCAGAGGGAATAGCAAGTGCCCTAGTGTTGGATGCATGCTTGGCATGTCTGAGGAGCAACTAAGAGTCTACTGTGGCTGGAGCTGCGTGCTTGGGAAGGAGAGCAGAGATGAGATGGAGAGGTAAGGTGTGAGAGGGCCTGAGACTGCACCTTTTACCTCAGGTGAGATGAGGAGCAATGGGAGAGGGTAGCATGTGAGCAGAGGAGTGCCACGATACGCTCTTGAACATGACTGGTGACAGGCACCAAATACTTTTCAATCTTTCAAGATTTTCTGTAAGTTTGTAATATCCTTTAATTTCAGGTCAGCAGATGTTTTTCTATTGGTACAAGTCTAGGAATAGATAAATCTCACCAATTCCTCTCTTTCCTTTCATATTAAACCAAACCAAACCAAAAGAAAAAAAAAAAAGCAAAAACAAACCCATTGCTGTTGAGTCAATTCCGACTCATAGCAACCCTATAGGACAAAGTAGAACTACCCCATGGAGTTTCCAGGGAGCGACTGGTGGATTTGAACTGCCAACCTTTTGGTTAGCAGCCGAGCTCTTAACCACTGCGCCATGAGGGCTCCGCTTTATTTTTGTCAAGTGCCACTACATTGAGGGTACAATATATTTCTCCAGGAAAAATACTGAGTAGATGATTGCTACTTAAATGCTATATTCTTAAAGTTTATTAGGTCAAAACTTCTTCTACCCTCTGATCAGTGCTGTCTTCCAAGTTTGTTTTCAAATAGCTTAGGACAGCATGTTCCAGGAACATGTGGTCAGGCATATAATCAGGAAGTTCTCTGTCCATGGAATTCCAAAGAAATTCTCATAGCACCTGTGTAGGAGTGGCCACAACTTTCCCTTGAGACCCTTCATGAACTTTTCAACTCTTGTTGGAACACCTCTGAGAGATCAAAAGTCTTTGCTCAAAGGAAGTGCGCCATAGGAATGGGCAAAGTTGAACTGTTGAAAATTTTGGCTGTATTTTATCAAAACAAACACAACCCTAGAGACTTTTTCAGAAGTTCAGCTACTCCTTTTGGGCTTTGGAAGTTCTCTGCTGCTGTATGTGTGTGTCACAGAGACACTAGAGCTAAGTTCCCTTCTAGCTTTAAAACTCTTGGTCTCTGATTTTGACCCTATGCCTTTCAGCATTTCTGTCAGTGCCTTGAAGATATGAAAAGCATTCTGATCAAATTTGTGGTTATTACAAAGCCAAAAGGAATAACTAACTCATGGGATTACCATTTCAGAATGAAAATGAAACAGAAATTACATCTAACAGGGATAAAAGTAAATGTTTGCATTTGGATTAGTACTTGGGGGGAGATCTGCCTTGGATAGAATAATTTGGTTCCAGAGAGGTGATGGTTCCAATGTATTTTGTCATGTTCTGTCCACAGGAGGTATATATGAGGTTGTTATTGGTAGCATCTGTTAAGAGATGCACAAAAAAGGATTGTCTTTTGAAGAATATGAGCAGTGTAACCTCATATACCAAAATATTTAAGAAAACAATGCATGCTTAACTCAGAAGAGAGAAGTTTGGGGAAACTACATACTTGATCTGGTCCATATATTTCCAAAAAGAAGAAATCTAACCAATGGGTGGAAGTTTCAGACTTTCAGAATTAGGTTGAGCCTAAACCTAACAGTTTGAATTGTCCAACAAAACAATCAACAAGTTCAAAAATTAGTCACTGAAAATAAACAAGTAGAGTCTCAATTTTGTTGGGTGTCATGCTATCGGAAGAAAGCCCTGGCAATCTACTTCTGTTAAGACTACAGCCGAGAAAACCTTTTGGAGCAGTTCTACTGTGTGATACATGGGGTCACTATGATTCGGAATTGATTCAGTGGCAACAGGTTTTTGTGCCATTGGAAGAAAGGCTGGGTTATGCTATTTACCTACAACACACTTTAGTGTTAGAAATAACATTTGAACTCAGGTCTTGTGATTGCCAATCCAGCATTCGTTTTACTACACCACATTGCTCTATTGCTCTGTTCTTCCATAAACTTACTTCTAGGATGCAGTGTTATTTCAGAAAAACTATACTGTCAATTACAATTTGCACTCAGGTTGTCAAACTTCGTGGAATGAAGACATGCTTCTGTGTTTTAGAAAGGTTTAAAAAGTTAGAATTTCTTAAATAGCAATTTGTTCATGTTTTAAAATTACATTTCAATAAATTGGTGATTTTTCTGTTGGTGGTTATAGATGGAAAACGAATTGATTTACTATGTTCATGATGATAGCGAGGAGCTTCTTGACAACTTCACCATCTTTGCAAATAGCTCAGAGCTTGGAAAACAGAGTTTGCCCCAAACTATTTTTGTGACTGTTGAATCAGTAAATGATGAGGCTCCAGTGATAATAGCCAATAAAGTCCTCCAGGTAAGTGCTGCATGCTTTTTAATTTATAATAATAACAACATTGGGGCTACCAATTTGATTTGATTTTATAGTATTCCTAATGTTAAATGATGGAGTCTTGGTGGCGCAGTGGTTAAGAGCTAGCCTGCTAATCAAAAAGGTCGGCAGTTCGAATCCACCAGCCGTTCCTTGGAAACTCTATGGGGCAGTTCTACTCTGTCCTATAGGGTTGCTATGAGTTGGAATTGACTCGATGGCAATGGTTTTCTTTTTTTTTTTAGAGGTCTTAATATTAAATAATAAGACGAATGACTATGGATGTATAGTTGACATGTTTCTATTGCTTTTAAACAAATGTTATTACCAGAACATTCTGCTGGGTACTGTCTAGAGATGATAAAGAATGACAGGGAGTTACCGCCATATGGCATTTGGCATTGAGCATCACTCAAATTGTATTCCCTAGACATAGCCTATTCTATTTAGGGATGGGAGCATAGTGGTTAAGAGAGTGGGCTCTGAAGTAGACAGATCTGGGTGAGAGTCCTGGTTCCCCATTATTAGCTGTGTGATCTTGGGCAAGTTATTTAGCCCTCTAACTTGTTCTCATTCGGGTGGAGGGACATGGAGGCTAATAATGACCTCACAGGGTTGTTGTAAGAATTACATGATAAAATGAATGCAAAGTTCTCCCACAGTACCTGACATGTGGTTAGGGCTCAATAAATAGTAGCTCTTATTATAAGGAGTCTCTGGGTGTTGCAAACAGTTAATCTGCTTGACTGCTAACCAAAAGGTTAGAAGTTTGAGTCCACCAAGAGGTGCCTGGCAATCTGTTTCTGAAAAGTCAGTCATTGAAAACCTTATGGAGCACAGTTCTACTCTGACACACATGGGGTCACCATGAGGTGGCATCGACTCAAGGGCAATTATTTATTATTATAAAAAATTCTAAGGCCATATACCATTTTTAGGGTAAAATAAGGCCACTGCACAATCATGGTACAGCATTTTGCTTGTTCTGGGTGCTTCAGTCTCCCTGTGCTCTTTCTGAGAATCCCCCGGGGGTGATTCTCAAGCATTCATAGATTCGCAGCCATATGGTGTCCACCATTTTTCTCCTCTCCTGATCTGGAGCCTTGAGGTAACATCTGCTGTTGGGGCTTCTGTTGGCAGCGCAAAGGGGCTGATGCCCAGGACCACTAATTGTGCCACTTCCTGCCACCTCAGCACTCGCAGCATTGATACTGGTGAACCCACTGGTACCGGCTTATATTCAAGTATCCCAAAATTGTTATTTAATATACTTTCTTGGCTGTAACTCATCCTTTATTGCTATCCCTCTTTCTAGGGACGGGCATGAACCCACAAGACTAGATTGAAAAATAATTGTAACTATTATAAGAGTAAGTGTTCAAAAATAAGTGTTTGCTATTATTATGTGCCAGGTACTGCTTGAAGAGCTTATGGCCCTCTGAGATATGGGCTACCATTTTCCTCATTGGACAGATGAGAGAAATTTGTGACAGCTGTATGATGCACTCGGGATAGAATGACAGTATGGGACCCTGCATGGCTTGTTCCTGGTTCTTTTCATGGTCCTGAGCAGGGCCTGACACATGGTAAACAGTCAGGAAATATTTATTGAGTAAATGAATGGAAATATAAACTGCCCATTCCCCCAACACCAGCCCATGCTTTCTAGACCAGGCTTTTGTCCTGACTCTTTCTTCCTTTAGTATGGCTGTATTTCTGGAAGAATCCTTGGTCCCTCACATAAATAAGTCCCCAGTGGACTCATTCATCAGGATGTCCAGACATGAGACTCGAAATGTGTTCACCTTGAAATTTGATTGGGCAAATCTTCCTACTTACATATTTGGCAAATGTAGCCTTGTTTATATCACTCATGAGGGTAAATAATAATAGATTCTTTATAAGTTCAGAGGAAGTTTGGTGGTCAGAGAAGATGCAGAAGATGTGAACAGGAGCTAGAGGTTTGGTGGTTCCACCTGGTAATGTTACCTCCCCTTGAGTGGGGGGGAGTTTGGAAATGTGATGGAGGGCATTTTTTTTTGTCACATTGAGTAGGGGTTGCTATGGTGTTTAATGCTTGATGGCTAGGGATGCTTAATATCTTGTAATGGATGAGACAGTCCTACAAAATGGAGAAATGTTCCACCCAGAGTGCCAATATGCAACCAGTTAAGTTGATTATGACTCATGGTGACCTCATGTGTGTCAGAGTAAACTGTGCTCCACAGGGTTTAAAATGACTGATTTTTTGGAAACAGATAGTCAGGCCTTTCTTCTGAGGCACATGTTGGTGGACTTAAACCTCCAACCTTTTGGTTAACAGCCAAACACATTAACCTTTTGTATCACCTAGGGACTCTGAAGTGCAGATAATATTCTGTTAAGAAACTCTGTAGCCCCAGGATTGGAAAATTGCATCCAATGGGCCTAATCTTGTTTGTTGTCTATTTATTTGTATGCCTCAAGTTAAGAAGTGTTTTAATAGATGAACATTTGCTATCAATTTGTTAATAGGGAACACTAACTTTGAACCCCACTTAAGTGAAATGTTATTCCTCTAAAAATGAATTCCATTCTCATTAGTAGCTCTGTATTACAAAAAATTGTAGTCAGTTATTATTGTTACAATTTGAATTTTAACAGTAAAAAAATTGTGGAAATTTGTTTTGTTTTGTGTTACCTAAGCCCCTATATAATAACTTTGCTTTTGCCTCTTTGCCTCTGCAAAGCCTAAATTATTTACTTTCTGGTTCTTTACAGAAGAAATTTATCAACTATCTGTCCTACTTCCCTCCATTCTGAAATTCACTATAATCGAGGATAAAGTATAGGAAATCTGTGTAGCAGTATCTGAATTACCACGAGGCTGAACTTAGTTATGGATCTTCAAAGCCCCATCACAGTTTTTCATGAGTTTTGGCCATCTTGCATAATAACCAACTAATGTAGATCAGGAGCCCTGGTGGCACAGTAGGTAAGAGCTCGGCTACTGTCTTGGTTATCTAGTGCTGCTATAACAGAAATACCACAAGTGGATGGCTTTAACAAAGAGAAATTTGTTCTCTCACGATCTAGGAGGCTAGAAGTCCTAATTCAGGGTGCTGGCTCTAGGGTAAGGCTTTCTCTATTGTCGGCTCTGGGTGAAGGTCCTTGTCGTCAATCTTCCTCTGGTCGAGGAGCTTCCCAGTGCAGGGACCCCAGGTCCAAAGGACACACTATGTTCCCAGTGCTTCTTTCTTGGTGGTATGGGGTCCCCCTGTTTCTCTGCTTGCTTCTCTCTTTTATATCTCAAAAGAGATTGGCTCAAGACACAATCTAATCTTATAGATTGAGTCCTGTCCCATTAACACAACTGTCTGTAATCCCATCTCATTAACATCACAGAGATAGGATTTACAACACCTAGGAAAATCACAACAGATGACAAAATGGTGGACAATCATGTTACACTAGGAATCACAGCTTAGCCAAATTGACAGACATATTTTTGGGAGGCACAGTTCAATCCATGACAGCTGCTAACCAAAAGTTGGCAGTTCAAATCCACCAGCTGCTCCTTGGAAACCCAATGAGACTGTTCTACTCTGTTCTATAGGGTCACTATGAGTCGGAATCGACTTGACAGCAGCAGGTAATGTAGAATCAATTCATCTAAAATAAAAAATGTATGTATTGCATATTATACAGTGTATATAATATTTAGGTAGGGGTGCAGTAAATATTAAATGCCTAAATGCTCTCATGGAGCCTATAATAGTGAGGAAGACAATAAGATTGTGTAATGAGCTTCAAGAGATCATCTGCCGTAATTTTCTGCATAGCACTTAAGGGGACCAAGAGTGATGAACAAAGGCCTCTCCAAGAAAGGACATTTGAGTGGAGGCCTATGTGCCAGGGGTATTCAGGACCACCTGGGTTGGGTGATTTGGTAGGAGGACTTACAGACTCAGTCTATCTATAATCATAGTCATGGCTAACGTTTATTACAGTGAAAGAACACAAAGCAAAATCAGCATGGGAAAAAGGCACATGGGATGAAGTCCGGAGGAAACCAGGTGCAAAAGTCCTCTCCTAGTGGAGTCACACACAATGTGTAGTTCCTCCAGCAGTCAGTTATGGCAACATATGCAAACTGTATTAGTTTCTTGTGGCTACCGTAATAGATTACCACAAATCTGGTGGCTTAAAACAACAGAAATTTATTCTCTCAGAGTTCTGGAGGCCAGAAGCTCAAAATCAAGGTGGCAGCAGGGTTGCTTCCTTCTGGAGTTTATGAGGGAGAATCTGTTCTGTGCTTCTCTCCTAGTTTCTGATGGCTGCTGACAATTCTTCGTGTTCCTTGGCTTATAGATGCATCACTTCAGTCTCTGCCTCTGTCTTCCCATGGCCTTCCTTTCTGTGTCTCTGTGTCTCAAATCTCCTGCTTCTTTCTCTTCTAAGGACATCAGTCATTGGATTTAGGGCCCATTCTAATTCAAGGATGATCTCATCTCAAAATCCTTAACTTAATGATATCTACAAAGACTCTATTTTCAAATAAGGTCACATTCACAGGTACCAGAGCTTAGGACTTAGACCTAGCTTTGTGAGGAACACTGCTCAACTCACTACATGAAGTGTAATCTACCAGGGAAGCTTATTAGACACTTAGTGCCCAAGTCTCTTTTTACATTGGGAGCTGGTCATGTAGGCACCCTCTACCTAACTCGTACCAAAACTCCAGACTTCCAGAAGGAAAGCAGGTGTTCAGCATAAACTACATTGTCTGTACAAATGGTTTAGGCAGAGTGAACCGCTCGTATTATTTAGGGAAAGTTTTGTATCTGTGTAGGAAACTATATACCAGCTTAGTTCCCAAGGGCCAACCTTGCAAGCAGCCTTTCTAAAGAAAGGTAATCTTAGATGAGGGAGCAAGGAGCCATGTGACTATCAGGGGGAAGAGCATTCTGGGAAGGGAATAATCAAGAGCAAAGGTTGTAGTGGAG